CATACATACATACATACATACATACATACATACATACATATTTCGTAGATTTTCACGGGTACAGGTATGTAGGTCTAAGTGTGTTAGGGTCTTTTCCTGTGTAAGATTAAGAGTATCTTGGCGACGTTTCGGCGAGGTCCCACTCGCCATCCTCAGGCTGGTGCTTTTGGGTTTGTGCCTGTGCAAGCAGTGGCACGAAGCCGAAAGCTTGCACTGCTTGCACTGCTTGCACTGGCACGAAGCCGAAAGCTTGCACTGCTTGCACTGGCACGAAGCCGAAAGCTCCAGCTCAAACACACCCCAACCAGGCATCCAGATGAAACCTACCTTCCTAACAAATGATAGCTGTCCATTTACTCGGAGCCAAGCTGCACTAAAAGCCTCCAATACAGGAACACAAAGTTGCCAGCCAATCAACACACACACACACACACAAAGCCACAAAACAGACGGAAGATATTAGAAACACCAATCAAGCAGAACACAGCAAACTCCAAGACCAATAAACACAGACCAAGACTCCCAACCAATCAGGATGAAGAAAAAACCATTCTGGCACAGCAGTAGGCTAGCCCCAAATTTAAAACTGAAACAACTGTAAAAGTCTGACTCACAGACGAACACAATACAGAAGCCTGATGATGGCAGATGAGATTCTGCCAAAATGTTGCTACAACTTTAAAAGCACAACTATAATGACGTGGGAAAATACCCGAACAAAGCTGAATACCATACATATATATGTATGTATGTATATGTATATGTATATGTGTATGTATATATATTTGTCTTCGATAAATTGATAAATATCAGGGCCATTTCAGACTTCTGGATTTATACTGTGCATCTTTAGGGCAAGAATAGTTTTGGGATGTATTTGTTTATTTTTTTTAAATGAGTTCTCCATACGCTTTGTTTAAATGCACTAAGTTGAGCTGGAGGTAATAGGAAATTAAGGATTCATTCACCCCCAACCCAATTGGCCGGTTGAATTGAAAACCATTACACTGGGAAGGAATAGAAATAGAATAGAAATAGAAATTAGAATAAAATAGAATAGAATAGAATAGAATAGAATAGAATAGAATAGAATTCTTTATTGGCCAATTGTGATTGGATACACAAGGAATTTGTCTTCAGTGCGTAAGCTCTCATTGTACATAAAAACTATAAGTGATAAATCATGAGTATAGTCATAAAAATACATTCATCATAAATCATAAAATACAACACTTAGTGATAGACATAGGATACTAAATAAGCAATCAACATAAATTGTACTAGGAAACTAAATAAAACAATATAAATTGTAAAGATACAAGCAACAAAGTTATAGTTGTAAGTAGAAAAGGAGATAAGTAATAAGAAAGAATAGAGAAGAATAATATTAATAGTCTTACTAAATAGCTTGACAGTGTTGTGGGAATTAGAAGTTTAGAGGAGTGATGGCATGGGGGAAAAACTATCCTTGTGTCTAGTTGATGCCCCAGAGTTCAGAGTTTGATTCCCACCTGTTTTCCTATCCTATTTGATTGCTTAAATATTATAGATAAATGGGAAGAAAAGCACAAACTTTGCATCAATATTTATTTGCAGTAAAGACTTTGAAATCCACAAAATCAGTCATTGTATGAATGAGTCTCATAGAGTCTCATAGAGCACCCATTTTGTGAGCATGTCTAACACAGTTCCAAATGTGCTCTCCCTTTTTATGTATTATATAGCACTACATGGTGTAACTGAAAAATATCATACTGTAAATGGGAAATAGTTTTATTTGCTAATGAGATTATTTAGTGTGAATACAGACTGATTTTTCTCTCTCTACTGTACTCTGCTATGGCAGTGTGGCTCACAGCTCAGTTATGATAAACACTGCATACAGTTCCGTGTACAAGGTGGTCTTTCAGTAAACAAGGAAAACTTTCTGATGACTTGTATGGCTAAAAGTAAAGAAAAAATTAGCTCATCTTTCCCCACATTTATTATAATATACCCCTCCTGCTCAGCAGGAGCGATGTACAGTACAATGTAAAATTGTACTTCTGACTCAGATTTGTTCTATTGCTAAGCATGACTGGTGAAGGAATAATATGGATAAAACTGGATTAATCAAGAACATTTACCTGATTTTCAGATTAACTCATGTAATAAAAACTTGACTCTATGCTGTGAAATCATGGAACTGAACTCCACGATTCAGGGACAGCTGTTTTCGATTCTCAATAAAGCTTGTCAAGAAGGTGAGATTACCTGTCCTAAAGGATTCCCTGAATATCCGGAAATATTGAATTTGTCAGACCTGAACACCCTAGTTTTACAAAAAAAAAAAAAAAACCCACCTTGCAACTCCCTATTTCCCTACCTTAGACTTGAATTTTCGAACAGTCTTAGAGTATGAATCTTACTGTAGATCGCCCACACATAGTAATGATGACTTTATAAAAATAGGCAATATTTAAAATGTGAAAAAGATAAGATTTGACATAATCTTTTTTTACTGAATCTGTTGCTGTCATTACAGTCAGTCTTTAACCTATGACCACAAT